GGGGGGGGGAGCCGATGGGCAGATGAGTCAGCGGCTCCCACCCGCGCCGGGGAGGGGGAGGACGGCCGACGTGGACGCACGGGAGGGGATCCTGCGCGCCGGACCCCCAAGGTGGGGATATATTAAACCTATAGAGGAGGGGAGATTTCCCGCAGCGCTTCCCGATTCGCTCCCGCAGCCTTCAGCTCGGGATTTGGGGGGATAACGGACCGTTCCCAGCCTCCAAGGAGCTGGCAAAGGTTTCTTTTTACCTGCGTGTGAGCAAAGGGGGTGCCACCGTACCCCCGAACCTTGGGCACTTTGCGGGTCAAGCTCAGGGAGGTTTGGTGCAAAAAAAACCTGGATAAGGTTGGGGTTTTTTTTTTTGCGGCGTTGCTGAGTCTGGAGGTGTTTGGTCCTGATGCTGCCCGGCAAAAATATCTCGGCTTTGTGTCTGAAGCCAGACGTGGTGCTAGAAATAGGAGGGAGACACCCAAGGCTGGCATCGCTCCCAGGGCTGGGAGGGGGGCTGCTTGGAAGCCAGGGCGGGGGGCACCTCGCAGCCCCCCACTCCCTGCCACCACGCCGGTGGGCACCCGGCCCCTGCACTGGTGCGGTGTCGAGGGACGGCAACCCCGGGGAGCGGGGCGGCAAAGGGAGCCCCAACGCAACCCCTCCGACCCTGCCCCGGCCACCACTGAGCCCCCAAACATCCTTTTTGGGGGGAGGCACAGGCCTGATCCGTGCACCTGAGGCTGAGAGCAGCCCTTGCCCTCCTCTGCCCTGGGCTTTGCCCGGGATCAACATTCCTTTGGGGCTTTAGGGGATTTTTTTTTCTCCCTTTTCCTCCCCGTTCCCTGTGTGCGGCTCATTCCTGCCAGTGCCAAGTCCTTTCGCCAGCGCTCGGCTTTCAGCCGGGCTATTTCTGCCTTCTCCTCCTCCTCCTCCTCTCTCCCCGCCGCCACCATGAGCCAAGAGGATCCCATGTCCCCTGCTCCTAAATAGACCCAGTCTCAGCTCGGCCCCGCCAGCGCCCAGCGTGGGGAAGATGCCAACTAGGGGCCCAGCAGAGGATGCTGGTCCCTGGGGGGGGGTGAGCTGCTGTGTTTTTGGGGATCCCCGAGGCCATGGGGTGCAGCTTGGCCGGGCCACTCTGTAGGGAGCTGGAGGCGAGCCATCTGCTTGCCCGAGCCCTTCGTTTTGGGGTGTCACCTATTGAAAGGGGTGGCTGGTGTGTGACAACCCAAACCTGCTGAT